CAACATGTCGAGACAAAGTAAAAAAAAAAGTCACGTAGTTTAACAAAAAAAATGAAATAATTTCTATCATATTGGTAATAGACATTAATAGTTTGGCCACTGTAAAACTAATTGAAAATAAAGTACAAAACCTTGATAATTGAGGGGACAATGTGAAAAGAGGATCATTAAGGAGGGTTAAAATGTAATATTCCCTTTATATTTTTTAGTTTTGACGGCAAGGAGTGGGGCGGGACGGAACGGGATTGGGAAGTTTGGGGTGGAAGGAAATACTGGTGAGGGTATCTCTTCATGTGATTTGGGCCTTTGTTGGGGCCCGTCTCGGCCTTTGGGCTTTATGGGTAACTAGTTTAAAGACCTGTTTGCCCCTAAATTCTGTTGAAAATTACACATTGTCAGCATAAAACTTAGATAAAACTAGGTCCTGACCCACAAAACAACAACCAGGTATGACTACGCATGTTAATCGTGTCACGCGTCGAGTTAAGAAACATTTTATTTATATCTAATTCGTTTATTAATTTGTATATAACAAAGCATGTCATAGTGGGTTAATATCATATATGAATAATATATATAAACAGATCGTGTCGTAAATTTTTTCTGATTGATTTCACATATAACCGATTCATTTATTAATCGGGTCGGTAACACTCGTTTACTAAACGTGTGGTTTAAAGAAGACCTAAACTTTTTAATTTTATATCGTGTATGTATCATATTAATGAATTGTGTTATATGTTAACATCCTAGCCAAAAAAAAAAAGCCATATAACAAGGAAAAAATAATTGTGCATTTTGATAGTCAATCGGGCCGGGCAAACCCAAATCCCTTTTGTTAGACCCTCAAAATCTAGCCCGAATTTATGAGCCGTGTTGGAGTCTTTTTTTTTTTTTTAACCGAAATTTAAATTCGGATTGAATTTTAGCATCAAGTAGCTCCACCAAATAAAATTTTTCCCACCCATATAAAGTAAGAGCTTAGACAAAATAAAACCAAGTTTGAAACTCATGGACAATAGTAAGTTGAGTTTAAACAAAAGAAAAATATTTATCATTGTAATGTAACATGAATAAACATTGTTCTTCGTAACTAACACTGTCATGTTTATATTAGTTTTTGAGACTTAGGATATTAACCACTCAATCAATCTCTTCGGTCTCCGAACTCAAATTATGGAAGACTTTTCTATAGTTATACGAATTAAAAATTGAAGTTTTACTTAACTAATCTCTATCACTCTTGTATGGCATATCTAATGATAATAATGTAGGACTACAAAGAAAACCTATAACCAATGGTATTTGGTAATGGTACTCTTTTTTTTGTAAAGAGTTAATTTTTTATGAAATCAAGGGTTCAAGTCTTCTAAGCGAGCGACAGAAAATGTGGTCGATTGATAAGACGAACCTCATTTTGGATGAATCGTATCAAAATCTGTGGTATGAGTTTAAATCCCTACCAAAGCGCAAGTCTTGATTTAATTGATGTATGGATTGAGGGAGCAGTTCATACACCTAGAATTTATCATCATTTCTATCCAAAATCAAGAAACTGAGCAATTAAATTATTTCTATCTCACCGCAGAGAAGGCCAATAATTTTTCCCATATTCCGAAAAGAAAACCTATGGGAATAAAGTCTAACATGTGCACACACAGTCAAAATACAAAAGGAAAAAGTATCAAGTTTTACCAAAGTAGGTAGACATGTGAGTAGTACAAACGTATAAGCACCTGTCCAAGCTCAACTAACGCAAATGGATCATCATTCAATCGGTTCAAAGGCCATTATCAATCTTCCTGAAAGTCTCTGCTTCTTGGTCCACACCTCCTTGTCACGATATGAATTTGAATAGCATCAAAATTGTACGGACAAAAATTTGCACAATCACTAAAATGTGTTAAAGGTTCGCTCTTGATATTCGAATATTATTCAGTTCATGAGCTGTAAAATTAGAAAGATATTAGAGGGACCCTCGGCATTGAGCCAAGGGAGACCCCTCCAATGTCTACGTCAGTATTGTAATCAATACTTGAATAAACGAACATACAAAATTAGAAAAATAATATAGGTATGTGTGTTGAGTATGGAGCCGAAATGCTCATACTTGAAACCCTTTACCTTTGGGTTTTCACCCATCTTTATAGAGCAAGTAGAGAGTTACTTACCGTTGAGAAGTCATGCCCCTTGGGTTGATGTATTCTTGTGATATGCATCTTACATTGTAGGTATCAAAAATTGTGCTTGACCCTAACTGGTCAATCAACAAGACTGTGACCTTTTTGTTGTCTTAAGAAGATAAATCTTAGATCTTATTATGATATACCCATGTGATATGGGACCTCCCATTGATACAAAATATGGTCCATCAAAAGTAAACAAGTCTTTGGTAAGTTCCAAAGCTACACTAGGAGGAGATTTTGATGGGTCCTCTTGAACTTTATTAATAGAGGAAAAATCGAAATGTGAGGATTAAATAAAAAATATTTGATATTTTTGGGGTGCCAAAATAATTTCTCAAAATGTAACGGTAAAAAAAATTAATAAAATTTACAGTGAAATCAATGGTTGAAATTATCAAGTCTAGTTTTTAAGTCCATGTAGCATTACTCATATGTTATGAGTAATGCTACATGAACTTAAAAAATAGACTTGATAATCTCAAACATTGAATAGATAATGGGTTTCAATAAATAATGGGATAATATTTTTGGTAGGAGAGATGAAATATTGGAATGATAGGTTTTCCATCCTTAAAGGAATGAAAGAGGTTTTTCATCTTTTGTGTTCGGTAAGAAAGATGAAAAAATGAAATAAATAAATATTTTATTATTTGATTTGGTATGAAAAAAAAATAATAGAATATTATTACTAATAAAATATCAAAAATACCCTTAATAGAATATAAATAATCTATTGAGACATGAGTTCCTTCGAGTAAATGGTAATTAACCATTACATAAAAGGTGTGGAACCCATCTTGACCAACTAGTCAGGAATTGTTGCCATTTTTCATCCGAAAGCAGAGGGATCAAAAATGGTGGGCAGCATGGATTGCTTTTCCCTCCGTCTTTCCTTTCTACCATTTTCCATCCATTCTATTTTCACCCATACCAAACAAGCCATCCTTCTCTTCATGTCCAAAGTCAAAGTAGATAAGAGCAAGGTGATATGATGTCCTTTGTGACATCCAAATGATCACTCTAATATATGTGGTCCATCTTAGAGGATAGGGAGATGAGAAAATAAGGTTATATGATGGTAACTATACTGTATATATATAGTTTGTTCATTCTAAAGGGACTTTTGAGATTTGAGAGGGTGCTTTCATGGAAAAATCTTTATTTGTAGATTTGGTTTGGATGATTTTGCTTTGTTCTTTCAGCCTAATATTCAAGCCAACTTATGAGTTGATTATGACAATATTGGAATAAATATTTAGTATCACACTTATTTTATGTCATTATTGATATATGATATCATACTGCAACAAGAGAAAAACTCTAATATTATGACATATCAAAGCTATAGTTTGAAGTTTTACTTTCCAAATAATACATGCTATTGTTGTGTTAACTTGTCATTAATTTTTAATTTGCAAGAATGTCTTTACTACAATCATTTTCCAAACATCTGGTAATTCTGGTCGTTTTTTCACTCCTCGCTTTGGTTTTCATCAAGCCAATCAGGGGTCTTTTTGTGAAAATCTTTACGAAAAATCGTCATTTTTTTTATGGTTTTTTAGCTTTTGACGGTTGCTCTTTTCACACTTTCGAATATCTAGTGTTAAATCGTCGCCCGTGGATCTTTTTTTGCTCCTAATAGCATCTCAAACTCTTACCATGTTTTAGACTCAAATTAAAATATAAGTAAAAATAGTCCAAAAACTTTCTCCAATCTTATACTCAAACTCATATTAAATTAAGAGAAACTCAAATTAAGATAAACTCAAACATTTACTCAAATCAACGATGATGAGATTTTATTTTTTTTAAAGATCCAATGACCATAGATTACTTACTTTTGACCGGACTAGAGATGAGGATTAGTCAACGTATGCTTAATTGGCCTGAACACTCTTAACTGTTGAACTAAAAAAAAGATTAAATAATTATATTTCACCCACCTTTTAATTTGAGTTTTTTTTTTTTTAAATTTGAGTTTATTATCCTCTAAAATGGAGAATATTATAAATAGTAATGTTATTTAATTCTAATTTGTTGAACTAATGATGTGATTTTATAGTAACAATTGAATCAACATCAAGTTTTAATGTTTGATAAGATTCACAATGAATCCAACGGTTATTGTGAATTAGATCCCAATAACTTTAGCTTATTATAAAACATGGATATAACTATTACTATTAATTTTGGATTAGTCATCTCTTTGGATTTTACGGTGGGAAAAACGTATTTTTTTTTTCTTTTTATGGCATTTTTGTAACCATAGGGAATTGAAACTATCACCACTAGGTCAATGCCGACACATTGGGAGAATCAATACCCTACAAGCAAACTAGCCATGGAATAAATTTTTGCTTAATATATAAAATCGTGAGCCATAAGGTCATTTAGACTTTTCATTAGTGGTATGATCACGTCACCATCACCTATGCACAGTGGAAGTGGGATCTTTCTCACTATCAATCTCTCGTCCCTCAATTAATAACTCTCTTGATTAGCTATTTGAATTATGTCGAGCGAGTTCGTGTCAGATTTTAATATGTTTGTATCAAAAAATATTTTATTTATATTAAATATATTTAATTATATTATGTCGAATTTATTTATTTATTAGATAAATGATTTAAAAAAGATTGAAATCCTCTGATTTCACATTTTGATTGTGTTATATTATATTTTGATGTCCTTGCTCTTCATCTTCACGTAGCACAAGCAAAAAATCCTCTCTCTATCCCCCCTTCTCTCTCTCTCTCATCACAACCAGAACTGTTCAGAGTCATCAACACATATTCAAATCAATAACGAACATAACTTTGCCTTATTTATTTCCTCTCTACGCTTATACACATAAAGAAAAGAACAAGAGTGGGGAAAAAAAAAGGTGAAGAGTTTAATACTCAATCTTGGAACCCTAATAAAACAATGTTTGAAAACGAATATAAGAGGAGTTAATCATAACCCACCATTAAGATTCACTTGGTGTCTCAGATATGCTCTCTAAATGAGGTCTCCACACACCAACACGACCTCTCCTCCGATCCTTTTGTGTTGATATCTTCTCTGATAATATCTCACTCAAGTACCGATCAGAGATGAGAAGGTTTGTGACAGAAATATTGCTATTGACATTGTTTTGATTCTCTTTCTTCTTCCTCCTCATCGACGACTTCGATCGAGTTTTCTCTGGTGTTGTGCTGGATGGTACCGGCATGAGAAAGTAAATCTTCCCACGTTGAAGCTCTGCATCAGGAGGAACTATAACGATCTTCGGACACATACCTTCTGATGATGATGGCGACGAGGGCTTCTTTAATACGTGCTTTGGATGTGCCTTCATGATCTCAGCTGCTTTTATTGTTCCACTGATCTCATCAACACGGCCATTTGCGTGTACTATTCGTATTACGTCTAGTGCTCCACATGGAAGAATGCAAGATATGCAGCATCTGATGGTGTTCTTCATGGCTACTCCTCTTTGTCTCTCTTAGTTTTCTCATAAGAGAGAGAAGAAGAAGACAGGTGATAAAGGGGTGGAAGGATAAAATATAGCAAGAGAAAGATAAAGATAAAGAGAAACCTCTTTTCTTTTGTTTATTTGTGCGTTTGTGTGTGTGTGTGTGTGTGTGTGAGAGAGAGAGAGAGAGAGAGAGAGAGAGTAGGGGGTATCAATGATCACATATAAGGGTTTTGTTACAAATGATGTTTTTATTATATGCTGTTGGCACTACACTTTTTTCCTGCTTTTGAGTGGGGAATTTTCTCACTTGCTTAGGATTGAAATATATGCGGGATGAATAATTGCACCTCATTTTGTACCTTGCCTTTTGGATGCATCATTCAGGGTCCGTCCTAGCCCCTTACCCTTCACTATGTTAAATAATTTGAGTTGGGTATGGAAGCTTGGAGGCTTATGGGTGACACATGTTAGTCCATGATTGGAAACGGCGAGTGGAGGTGACTGTGGATAAGTGTTTGTATTGTAATGTTGACACATGTCGATACACAGCTGAATTTGCTTGGTTAAATTAGGTGAGACAGATGAAGGGAGGAGAGAGAGAGAGAGAGGTGGTTTTGCTTGGAGTGTAGTGGGTGAACAGGGAGGAACTGTGTCATAGAGAGATCAATTGAGGGGAGTGTATGATCTTTCAATATCCCCAAGCATGATCATGTGGGTTTTGGCTTTTCATTGGAAAGTGATTGTCTTATGGACTTCTTTTACTTTTTTTTCTCCAGTGGATTTAGGGTTCTGAAGTGCTTTGACTTTAGTTGCGAAGGTGATGGTTCTATTTACCAGTCCAACACATGCTACTAGAAATACTAGTTTTTAAGAATCAAGAAAACTGTTGAACAAAAACCATGATTCCAAGCACTTTAACTCAGCTCTAAGTTATAATGGACATTTAGTGAATTCGAGAGAATAATCGGCGTGTAAATCAAAAACATGTAACCAAAAAAAAACCATCACTCAAAGGGAAAGTCATTTCAATCACTTATTTTTTTCAATGTTGTGGTTGTAACGTAAATGTCGGACACACATAATTACTCATAAATTTTATACATCCGATACTCCGAATTGTTTGCTATATACGATCAAATTTGTGATCTAAAGATGTAATTTCTAGATTCTTTTTCATCCAACCTGACCAGATGATGAGTTCATGAAACCATTATAGTTGGGTGAATTGTTTCTTGATCTATATGGTGATGTTTTTTTTCCCCGTCTTGACGTTAATGGAGAAATTCAAAAGCAAAGATCATGACAAAAAGAAAATGGTTCCATGATCTATCCAAAAGGATTTGCTATATGATTGATTTGATATTCATTGCATTATCATAAGTACCAGTTGTACAGTGGGCCACAAAATAATTTTTCTTTTTCTTTTTCTTTTTCTTTTGGTTCTAAGGGTTAAAAGTGTCTGAGTCAAGTCTACGCCTATCTCGATTAATTTATTTTTCAATTCGATTAAAGACAAATCATTCACACTGAGACTAACATATTCATGAGAGATAAATTCTGCATAATCTAACCCTAAAAAATGGTTAAAATTTGAATGCAAGACGTTTAATCCTGACAACTCCTTGAATTTGCTAAAAACAAATAAGTTTAGTTAAAATCTGTACAAATTATTTGACTTGGTGGTTAATTTTGGGCAAGTCCCATCCATGAGGTGGCCCAGCCATTGATGGTTCAGATGGAGAAGTTAGTGGGCAACATGTGATGAATGGAGGGAAAGGCTCCATGGTGGGGACAATTGGTACACATAATAGAACTGTGATTAACTGATTAAGCTTAGTACTTAAGAGTTGATTGTAAAGCATGGAATTAGATGGAACATGGGCTGTCTTATGGGAGTCAATAATTGAATAGAAACATAGATGAGAGGTGTGAATGTTAGGATCTTTTAAAGTTGGTAATAATCTCATTGACGAAGTGACAAAATAGGAGAGTTTTTTTTTTTTTTTGGTTTGGTAGGTGTACTAATATAAAAATTTTGGAGGTACGCAATCATTCGTAAATCACACACTAGGTACACTCAATTCAAAATCTTAGTGCTTGGAAAGCGATTTCAGTACCTAGATTTGATTTAGGTAAAAGAATTGGTACTTAGATTGAATTTAGGTAAAAGAATCCTATGCAAGTTAACTTTGACAATATTTGGATTTGGTGGCGTGAATTTCTTGAGCTTTATTTGAACTCAATCCAAATTTCAATTTAAATTTGTAATCTTAGAATCAATCTCAAATTGAATAATATTTCAACCTTGAATTAGTAAGAGAGTATAACCGAAGTTCAACCCGTCTTTAAAAATTAGGACGCGAGTGAATTGAAGTCGAGTTAGAGTTGAAGACTTTTAATTTGAACTGAAATTAAATTGATTTTTCAAACCGTCCTACCTTTCTAATTTACAACCACATATAAACTTATTTTTTTGTCATCATTCTAGTGAAATGATTAGATATGCTAGTTTTTTTTTTTCTCAAACGTTATTATAAGAATATGAGCGACAAAATTTAAATTCATAATTTTAAAATTCAATAATAGAAGTGGTGACCATTTGATCAATCGCTAACAAGATATGCGAGTTACAGTTCTGTCGCATTGAGAGAAGTCAGGCCTGTTGGATCAGCAAAAGTTTGTTTTTTAAAAAGGTAAATAGTGATAAAAGTTTCAACCAAATCTTTGAGTATCATTTGACTTTAGTCTCTTCCTTTGAAAGATACCATGAAGTTGGCAGTAACACTGCTCCTCAAGGTAAGACTAAGCCCATCTTTTTTTTTTTTTTTTTTTAAGTTCAGACCCAAATTAAGCCCAGAACCAACTGTTGATTTATATAAGGCCCAAGCTACCATTGTAAAAAAAGTGTTTTTTTTAATTTTTATTTAATGGTCAGCGGAGTAGCTCTTTGACCAATTTGGGTAGATTTTTGGTCGACATTTATTCAAATTATTTTTTATCTGTATTTAAGTATCACGGATAAATTTATAATAAAAAAATTATTAATAATTTGGATATTATTTGTTTGTGGAACGACATAAAAATATATTCAATATTTTAGGAATTAAAATAATGTAATTAAAATATTAAAAACCAAAATAAGACAAATTTTAGGGCCTGATTGGTTTGCGTTTCAAAAAATAGTATCCAAAAACAGTTTTTGAGAAGAGTTTTAAAAAAGTGGTTTTGATATTTTTTGAGATAAAAAACTTATTTGGTTACATAATTTCAAAAACAATTTTACAATATAGAAAATAGTAAAACCTGTTTGGACAACCTAAATATATATTTGAACAGTAATTCTTAAACATTAATAAAAAAATATAAAAAATTATTTTTAGCTTGACAATTTCATAAAACAAAAATTCAATAAGTCAAACTTTAATATATATATATATATATACCAATTTCTGAAGATCCAAAATTATTCTCTTTGTTTTCAAAAATTTCAAATAAAACTTTGAAAACAAGTTACACTTGTTTTTTTTTTTTTTTTTTACTTAAATTTAATTTTTTTTTTCAAAATTTAAAGAACAAAAATATTAAACAAACAAGTTTTAGGTGTTTTTAAAATTTTGAGAACAAAAAATTATTTCGGATCACAAACCAAATATGATCTTCGGTGCAATTAACCTTAAAAATTTTAAACTTTTAGGATGTAAATTAAATTTTGAGAATCTTTTAGGGTACATAGTGTCATTCACCAAATGGAAAAAGTGAAAAGCAATAGTTCCCCAAAATGGCGTTACACTCTGCTGACTGACTCCCACTCCCTAGACAAACAATCGGACAAATAGGAAAGGGCCAACCCCTCCGCCACCGCCACCGCCATCGCCGCCGTCATGCCAATCTTCAAGACCCCATTCAACGGCTACGCAGTAAAATTCAGCCCATTCTACGAGAACCGTCTCGCCGTTGCCACCTCCCAAAACTTCGGCATCCTCGGCAACAGTCGCCTCCACGTCCTCAACCTCTCTCCCGGCGGACCTATCACCGAATTCGCCTCCTTCGACACCGCCGGCGGCGTCTAGGATGTTTCGTGGTCCGAGTCCCACGACTCCCTCCTGATAGCCGCAGTCGCTGACGGCTCAATCAAGCCCTACGACCTAGCTCTACCCATCACCTCCAACCCAATTCGCTCGCTTCACGAACACGCTCGAGAAATCCATTCCGTGGATTACAATACGGTTCGTAAAGATTCGTTCCTTTCCTCTTCTTGGGATGATACAATCAAGCTCTGTACGATTGATAGACCCACGAGTGTACGGACATTCAAGGAGCATGCGTACTGTGTGTATTCGGCGGCGTGGAATCCTCAGCACGGGGATGTTTTTGCGTCTGCTTCCGGCGATTGTACTGCTCGAATTTGGGATGTGCGGGAGCCTGGTTAGTCAATTTTCAGAATTCAAATCTATTTTCGTGATTTGTTGATTTGCTCGTTATTGCAATGAATTCAGGTTCTGGAATTTTGGGAATTACTGGAGGAAATAGTTGATATGAATTACTATTCCCATGAATTTTCACTAAATTTTGCAGAATACTGAATTTATCAATATTGGGATGCGTGACGAAGGGATTAGAAACAATGTAACTCATGGCTTAAGTGGAAGAAAGTCTATGGCATATTATGTGAGGAAAGGATACCGATAAAATTGAAAAATAAGTTTTATCGATTGGTACAACAAGTACGGTAATGTTGTATGAAATGGAATGTTAGGCAACTAGAAAATAATATAGCGATAAAATAAGTGCATCAGAAATCAGAATGTTAAAGCGGATGCGTGAAAAAATTAGAAAGGATAGAATACGAATTGAATATATGGTTTGGTCATACTTAACAAATGTCGATAAAGACGCCGGTTAAAAAAAGTGATAGAATTTTGTTTTTAATGGTGCTAAGAATAAGGGTAGACATAAATTAACATTAAACAAAATAATAAGAAAATATATGAAAATATTTAACTTAAATATACATATAATGCAAGACTACAATGAATAGCGAAGACAGACTCATATAGCCGATCCTAAATGATTGGGATAAGGCTTGAGTTGGTTGGTAGGTTGGAAGTTCAAAAGTGGGAATTTACTCGATGAAATATTGGATATTTATAAATATTGGCATAAATATTCAGAGATTTAAAGTGCTAAAAATGGTGTATGTCATGGTTCTTGTAAATGTAAGACATAGGGTCTTGCTTTACAATTACTTCGAACAATTGGGGAATCTTGGGTAAATATTAGGACTGCTAGTAACATTTGGAATTTTGAATGTAATTCGGGTGTTCTTGGGATATGCTTGATTGACTGAGGATTCATTGGTTTTAATTTATGAAGAACGGATACGGGTATAAGAAACGGATATGGCGATATGACAAAATTTAAAAAAATAAGAAATGAGTATAATTAAGATACAACTATAATAAAATGTACTTAATATTTTTATTATTTTCAACTAGCTTAATACTTATATATTTTGGTAATTCTTTAATACAATAAAGAAAATTAGTAATTTTTTTTAGTTTAAAGAAAATATATATCGTACTACTATGGTATATTTACAAAGTGCAGTGATTAATTAAAAGAATCAAAGTTAATATTTACCGAGTTGGTTTATTTAGAAGTAATTTTTGCTAAGACTATAATGTAATAAATTTATTTTATATTCTTTTGACATGTAATTGTAAATAATATTTAAAAAATATTCATGTGCCTTTGAAGTAGTGTGAATTTTTGATAATGTATTATATGGTATGTGAATTCGAAAGAAAATGTTAAAAATTAAACTCAAAAATTATATATGTTGCTTGAACACAAAAGTATTCGTGAAATATCCTAATATTTAATTATTATCGGATACATAGGAGGTGTATCCGATATGTATCCTCGAATATCTGACGAGTATCATATTTGATATGGTATCCGATACGGGTATGTCGATCTCAACGAAGTATTCGTGTTTCATAGGTTTTAATGAAACTATAAAGATCAAGTAGAAGAATTTTTAACAAAAAAAAAAAGGTTGGAGAACTGTGTTACTATTATTCATTGCATTTTATGGTGGTAACGTTGCCTATATGATTATTTTGATTTTTTTTCAGGGTCTACTATGATATTACCTGCGCACGAATTTGAAATACTTTCATGTGATTGGAATAAGTCCGATGATTGCATCATTGCAACTGCATCCGTTGATAAGTCAATAAAAGTTTGGGATGTGAGAAATTTTAGGGTGCCCATTGCAGTGCTTAATGGACATGGATATGCAGTGAGGAAGGTTAAGTTTTCGCCGCACAGAGGGAGTGTGATTGCTTCGTGTTCATATGACATGACGGTGTGTTTGTGGGATTATATGGTGGAGGATTCACTGATTGGGAGGTATGATCATCACATGGAATTTGCAATTGGAGTGGATATGAGTGTGCTTGTTGAGGGGCTTTTGGCTAGTACTGGGTGGGATGAACTTGTTTATGTTTGGCAACATGGGACGGACCCGAGGGCACCTTAACAGGGAAGTTTTTTTAACTGATTTTTTTGTTTTTATTTCAATAGATTTCTCATTTTTTAAAGGACAAACTGAGAAATGATATGCTTTTGTACCTATTTTTGCTCGTCCTATATTGGTGGTTGTGGAATAAGTAGAGTTTTTCTGTTATTATTTTAAACTTTAACCAACAAACTTAATGGACAACACCACGACCCCGTATTGTCAATGTTACTACTGACCATTTGGGCTGCCTACTCAAATCAATGCATACTGTTTTTATTGTTCGTTTTTTCCCCTGGAACTACCTTTTTGTTAGAACTTAGAAGTGCTATTGTTTGTACTTGTATGGTTGTTGCAGATAAGCTGGAAACACAATAGTTATGGCAGGCAGGCATTTCGATCACTTTACTTTTACGAACTATAGTTGTGACCGAATAACCTAGGACAGCAATAAACCAAGAAAATCAGCACTTTGCTGTGAACATTAATCGTAAAAAGTATTCTGGAGTAATTGTCTCAACCTGTGGGTTAAGGTTTAATAAATTAAAAGGGAATAGGGTAGGGTTTTATAGATGATGTTTGAGGATATGAGTAGGAATATACCAGATTTGATTATAGGGCTTAGAGCTTAACTATTTTGCAGTTACATAGAAGAAAGGAGCAACAAAGAGAAGAAAAAACTAGGAATCACTCCTAGGGTTCCCTAGGCATCACCCCTAGTTTTGGAATTTCATCACACAACCATAGTTGCTGAAAAGTCTGAATGTTCTTCTTATCGCCGAATTTGTTGAAACCTACATGGTCATACATAGTCTAGAAGGCACGGATATGGTCTTGGACACATATATAGCACACTGATACAACGTACTGAAAAATAGGACACAAAAACCGAGGGGACATGCCAAAAAAAAAGCAGGTTTATATTGATAAAGTTTAGTCGTTTCTGTAATGTATATGAAGTGAATCTTAAAGAAATTGGTGTAATACAAAATCTGCATCTTATAAATCATAGTAATTATGGATTATTGATGTTGCAAGATGAAGCATAGAAAGTGTATGTAATATAATGGTTTCTATTGTACTAACATGCTCACTCCTTGAACTAGCTTTCCATTGCCTTACTTTTACCTTAAAATGCTGCAATTGTTGCTGAAGAATTTTTATGAACATTTAATTTGATTGCTATCAACAATGAGAAAGTTGGGACTCGAAAGTTCAGTAAATTGCAGGTAGTCGAGTGGTCAATCAGTATCAAAATGGTTGAAATAGGAATATTTTTTTGAATATATGAACTTAATCAACCTGACGTTAATAGTGTCCGAAAAGTGTTGATGTCTAGCACGGGCATGAGGCTTTGAAGAAGCAACGTTTTGCTTAGATTGTGACTGTCCCCTCTCTTAATGGTTATGTTGTATACTTGTGTTCAGGTTTTTTCTTCAACCTTTCCACTAATGCAATATAGGATTGTAGACAAAGAATAACAGAACTATTGTTTCTAGGGATGTACTTGGATTATTGTTCGTAATATCTGGGTACAGAGGGTTCTCGATAGAGCACAAGAGCGAAAAAAGATTCATGTAACTGACCCTAAAAAGGTTGGGATAAAGATTTGTTGAGTTGAGTTTGTCGGGGTTGGGAGGAACTGCATACCTTACAAATTGGTTGGGTGCAGGAAGAGACTTGAATACCTCATGGTTATCATACAATTTTTTGGCACTCAAGAGCTCATTCCTCTTTGATGTCTCAGTCTCTGGTTCATTCTTGAAAGTTGCACTTCAGGCCCTTAAAATGAACCACATTAAATTTTTATCAACCTATTGTACTCTGTGGGTCTGTACAATTTTCTCATTTTTAAGTGGGTCTCATCAACTTATTTAGTAAGACTCATTCCTCCGACATTCATTTAAGAGATAATATGTGTTCGGGTTCCATCTGGATTAATTTATCTTATGCTCTCTACCACAATATGGTCATGACTCCACTTGAATTAAGAGTATTTAAATGTGACACGAATTCAAAATTATGCAACTAAAATTAAGATTTTTAAAATCGGGATCCTATCTTATATTGACGGTGGAGGCTAAATGGTTAGAATCCTAGAATCGGATTGAAAATCAAAAGATCATACAAAGTGAAAAAATGAGGAGAAAATATATGTAACAATATATATATATATATATATAAGCATAGTATATATGCAAAAAAATGTATGATTGAAAGTTGAGGAATTACAATCTCAGCATTTAAAAAGGTTGAAAATGAAAGTTTTACTATTAATCTTGGAAAATTTTGTGAAGAAAAATAAGGATATTTAAATATAAACTTTTAAAGAGAGACGAAAATAGAAAAAAAAGTTTGATAAATTGAAAGATTGTTTAATAAATAATTTTAGATCGATAAAATCATAATCTCATAAGATTAGGATGGCGACCTATTAAGATTCTATGAATTTAGTAGCCATGATCAAAACGAGGTACGTCACCATGAGAGAGAGAGAGTCATTTTCGTATCCACTGTTCTTTTTTGACCGTTAGGTGCTTCATCCTTCACTCGTCGGTCTCAACCAACCAGTCGCCGTAAGAGCACATAGCCGACCAGAGGATTTAAATGCTCCTAAATTACCCAATTCTAAGGAAAAAAAAATTCCCATCGACCCAAATAAAAAAAAAAAAAAAACCAAATAATGTGGTACTTTAGTAATGATAATATTGATTTTATTTTTATTTATTTAATATTCAAGTTTTATTTATTAAATTAATTGTCACATAGTTTATTCTTTGTATTTGGTCATATTTTTTAGTCATAATAAAATTATCTCAATATATTTTCTGTCCTTAATACAACATAATTAACAAAATACTCTGTGAAAACCACGTTATCCTTCTCTCTTTTGATCACAAATCAACCAATCATGTAATCATCTCCATTTTCTTAAGATTAAGTCCAAAATTTTCTGTTTTTTTTTTCAACAATTATCGGTGTTTCGGGTCAATTTACGCACACATCGATTAATCTTCTTTTAAATTCGGTTAAAATCAGGTCATTCACGTCAGAATTAAAGTGTTCATGAGAAAATAATTCCCGAGCTCATACTAATTGTTTAATTTGTCAAATTTTATTAATTCCCCTAGGTTTCAATTTTAACAATTTATTCCCTTAAAGTTTTCACAAGATGAAATTAATTGACTACGTGGATGGAAAATTTAATAATGTTGGGCAACTAACAATAGGAGTTGATTGGAAAGTATTCGAACTTTAAGAAGGTAAATTGTTGAAATTAAAACCTAGCGGAATTGGTTGTAACATGATCCAAATTTAAAGGGGGTATTTTGTAATTTATCCTATATTTTATTGAATGGAGAATTTGACCTCATTGAATTTTAACTCGATTTATACAAATTATAACTGGTCCCAAAATTTTCAGTAAAATACAAAGTGGGTAGGCAGATTTTGCCTCGCGTCTAACACCAAAATACATAAGGACTTCTTGAGCTGACTACACCCAAATACATGACTTCTTGAGCTGACTGTTAGGCTGTCTGCTTCAACCTTCTATACATACCCACACAAATACCAGTGATCATAGTTCACACCAATTAAGTAGGTAGAGAAAATGGGTACCCAAATGTTTCAACTGTCTCTTCTTTTCTTCATCTTCTCTTCAGTAACTCACCTCAGTTCATCTCTCTCAACTGACTTCTCCATAGTAGATCATCACACTGAGGAGGTCCTCTCAGAAGAGAGAGTCTCTGAGCTCTTCCAACAATGGAGAGAGCAGCATGGGAAGGTGTACAAAGACACAGAAGAGGAAGAGAAGAGGCTTGAGAACTTCAAAAACAGTCTCAAGTATGTGATTGAGAACAACACTAAGAGAAGATCAGGCTCTGGGCATGTGGTGGGATTGAATAGGTTTGCTGATATGAGTAATGAAGAGTTCAAGGAGGTGTATATTTCAAAGGTAAAGGATCCATATAGCAAGAAGAAGATGGGTCAGAGAAAGAGTATGAAGGGGAGGTCAAGGTCAGCCATGGCTTCTTGTGAAGCTCCTTCTTCTTTGGATTGGAGAAAGTATGGGGCTGTTACTGGTGTCAAGGACCAAGGAAGTTGTGGTAAGTTGTTTTTTTTTTTTTTTAAAGTTACCTGAGAAACTATTTTTTAATTAGTAGATATTATTATTTTTGAGTCATATGTTGTTACAAATGTCGTACAGATTGCATAAAACTTCCACATATATAATGAGATATGAGGTCGGACAAAGATAAATGATTGACTATCTTATTCGATTAATCTTCGAACTGGAATTGTAACTCATTGTTTGTTCACTCATTAACTGTTTGAGATGTATAAGTAATTGGAAGGTAAGAGGGTGTGATGGAGCAAACTATTTTGGAGTGACGCAGCATATTAGTGACCTTATCCGGTGATACGATAGATTATAGCTATTGAATTAACGATAGACGTCACTATTTGTTAGAATCCACTGGCTATAATCCACTATTTCACAGGATAAAGTCACTACATTAGGTACAAAAAGCATTTTCCCTTGAACGATTGAAGTATTAATACATTTATCTAACTTCGGAGGGGGAGGTTGGGATATGGGAAGACTTTTGCTAGCAAAAAACTACTGCTTCTGTGGTATGGAGGCCAAAGAAAATATTTTGTCTCAATTTGGAATGTCTCGAGGTATAATAGGTGATGAAGGGTTTCACTTTTGCCTTAAAGCACCAATAGTGGTCTTTCCTAGGAAGTGGTTTGTAGGTGGCGATGTAATCCTCTTAAGACCATTGTACGGCTTAGGAAAAACAAACATTGTTAGAATTTCATTCCTCTTTGGAACTTCCTATATTATCTTCTATGGTTGTGTTACATAGTCTCGTTTTTGAGGCAAAGAGAGGTGTCATTAATGGCTTCCCAACCCTGCTGACTAATATGGATTGATGTCTATGGTTGTAACATTCCACTTGCTTCTTTCAGATCCAGCTATAGACATGAGCCTTGCATATATTGTGTTCGACCTTTCTTGATTGTTTATTTGTTTACAGGAAGTTGTTGGGCATTCTCTGCAACTGGAGCCATGGAAGGAGTAAATGCCTTAGCCACTGGAGACCTAATTAGCCTTTCGGAACAAGAACTTGTGGACTGTGATCCAGGCAATTATGGTTGTGATGGTGGATACATGGACATTGCTTTCGAGTATGTTCTAAGCAATGGTGGGATTGATTCCGAAGCTGATTATCCCTACATAGGATATGATCGAAAATGTAACACCACCAAGGTCTAAACTTACTCATCTCTACCATATAAAAGTAATATCTTTTCCATTAATTTGATTGTTTTTATGACACAGTCCTAGACACATTTTAACCTTTCAAATTTATCGTTGTTCTTCTGTCTCATCAGAGGTTTATGTTTTGATTAGGAGAAAAACATTGCTGTAACAATTGATGGCTATATAGACGTAGAAGAAGAAGAAAGTGCTCTCCTTTGTGCTGTTATTCAGCAACCTATCAGTGTGGGATTGGTTGGTTCATCATTCGATTTTCAACTCTACACAGGGGTAAGTCTATTACTGATATGTACCATATGATTCATTTTCTTTTTTAAACTTACTGATCCATTTATCGTATGATTATATGCTACAATATGTAATTTTGATGTAGGGTATCTATGATGGTTCTTGCTCAAGCAATCCCTCTGTCATAGACCACGCGACTGTGCTCGTGGGCTATGGTTCCGATGGGGATGAAGATTATTGGATTATAAAGAACTCATGGGGAACATCTTGGGGAATGGAGGGGTATGCATATATAAGAAGGGGCACTAATAAGAAATATGGTGTCTGTGGAATCAATGCTATGGCTTCTTATCCAACCAAAGAATCTTCTTCACCATCTCCTTATCCTTCCCCAACCGTTCCACCACCACCTCCTTCACCGCCATCACCACCACCACCTCCTTCACCGCCATCACCACCACCACCCCCTCCTTCACCTCCCTCTCCATCACCAAGTGACTGCGGAGACTTCTCCATCTTCTACTGTCCACCAGACGAGACGTGCTGTTGCCTGCTCAAATTACTTGACGTGTGCCTGTTATATGGTTGCTGTGGATACAAGAATGCTGTTTGCTGTACCGGCACAGTCTATTGCTGCCCCAGTGATTACCCCATTTGTGATGTCCCAGATGGCCTCTGCCTCAAGGTATGAAATTCCATCTCTAAATTTTGGATATATGAGAAGATATATGTGCCTAATGATTAAAAAACTTGCACATCTTTGTCCAAAATCTAGCTCACACGCAAGGGGCATGTTGAAGCATATAGACACTAAAACATCCAAGTTACACCCTCTCTAATAACTTAAGCTTTTCAAGCTGAAGTTGGTCTAACAATATCAATGTCTTTAACTCATTTTGATAAGAATGGATCAATTAGTTCATAGGAGAGAGTCTAATTAATTTTGTGTTCTTATTCTTTCTATAATTTGAGTTTCGTAGGGTGCTGGAGACAACATAGGAGTGGCTGCAAAGAAGCAAACGATGGCTAGTCACAAGTTACCATGGACTAAAGTTGAAGAAACAGAGAAGGAATACCAACCTCTCATGTGGAAGAGGAATCAATTTGCTGCAATCCTCTGAAAATCAGAACTGTTTATTGTGAAGGTTGAAGTTTTCTGTCATTTTCATAGTTCTGTTCCTTCCATTGGGGGCTGGGAAATGGGGGCATTTTCTCATCCTATTCTTGTTATATTTTGAATTTATGTATCAAGAACAAGCAAAAAGATACAGAAAAAAGGGGAAGGAGTATTTTTTTTCTCTTTGGATGATGTATTGGGAGACAGGAAAATTTTCATATAACTATGCTTAATTTGTCAATAATAGCTTGTGGCATGCTTCAAACCTGCTTCAATGTTGTTTTGAGGGCCTTGTAATGACCGAATCAAAAAATTCTCTTCGTCATTCAATAGTATATCTATGAAACACGGATATTTTGTTTAGATCGACATACCCTTATTGGATATAATACTCGTCGAATATTCGAACATATGTATCGGATACATCTCTTATGTAACTGATAATTAATATAATTTTTGAATACTTTGGGTATACTTTTTGTATCATAGCAATATATATAATTTTTGAATTTAATTTTTAATATTTCCTTTTAAATTCGTATATCATATAATACATTAACAAAAATGTATATTATTTTGATGACACATGAGTATTTTTTTAAATATTATTTATGATTATATGACAAAAGAGTATAAAATAAATTTATTACATTATAATCTTAGCTACAAATATTTTTAAACAAACTAATTAAGTAAATATTATTTTTGAATCTTTTAATTAGGTACTTCATTATGTGAATATATCATAATGATATGATATATAATTTTTAAACCTAGTATTTAATCGGTAGATAATAAAAAAATATAACATATATTTTGTTATATAGATATATATTGGCCAGATTCGTATCCTATTTTTTTCGATTTTGTCGTATTGTTGTATTCATATCGTATTGTCTTATATCCATATCTATATTTATATTTGTATCGTATAGTTTTATATTTGTATCTGTATTTGTATCCGTGTTTCATAATATATTATTTTACCATTAATACATATGGGAATTAGGATAGTGTGGGCCCTAACCAATACACGATAGACCATCTACCGTTGAGTAAAATTGTCGAAAAATTTAATTGAGAAGATTTGAATCCGAATAACCATATGGGTTTTTTCAATAAGTATCTTGTTTCATGATTCCACATTCTATTACTTGAAAAATTGAAACAATTGATGGTCTGGTTGACCATCAAATGAATCCACGAGGACAATGCTCGAGAATAATTATAAAAAGATTATACCTAATATACAACGCTCCCTGAGATTTGGAAGAGATAAGTTATAGGTGTCGTGCCTCAATTTTGATGCGATTGATTCTTAAACTCGAACCTGCATGGTGTCGTCAACAATCATAAACAGGAGACTTTTGATGGAGATTAGATGTTTGATCAAGGGGACTGGGTCATCTGTTCTTGGTGCAGGAGGACAACTTGGCGGCCCTTGATGTTTTATTTTCTTCTCATGGCTATTAATCAGAAGGGTGGTTCAAAATTAAAGAGTGAACAAGCTAAGATTCCTTTTGAACATTTGAGTTTCAAAAGTCTTTGGGAGGAAAGTGACACCACAAGGGCTTTGTCTGCTGTGGAGAGTTGTAAGTTGGGCCAGGCCGGACACACCTGCTCGTTAGTGAACATCCCAAGACAGCGCACAAGTTGGGACGAACTAGCCATACCAAAAAAACACAGCCGACTAATGTACATATCTCTTGTTTTTTTTTCTTCCAAATTTGGTCTATTTTATTTATAATTTCTTTATATTTGAATGGGTCCGTAGACTGAGGCAATGGGCTTACCTGGCATTAATCGGGGGAGACAATGGGGCCTAGAGGGCCAAATACAGGCCCAAGACCTTGCCTGGTGAACATTGTTGGCCCATGGCCCGGTGAGCCACCGGCCTACACGGGCGTGACCATTTTTGCCAAGCCCTAGTCAAGGATGGAGCCAAGATATGATCGAAGCAATGATGTCATGTTACATTACTTACCCATCATTAATTATTAATGCCTATATATGGAAGGCATGTCACATGTGGTGGGACTAGAAGAAGAGTTCTAGTTTCTATGAAATAGTACAATCATGTATGATGCTCCTTTTGCCTCTCTAGTCTCTATGAAATGGTACAATCTTGTATGATGGTCCTATTGCCTCACTTAGAAGAGAACACTAGCTAACTAGTCCCTTTCATCTCTCTCTCTCTCAGTTAACAATGTTCAGATTAGTTTAGGATCACTGCAATTAATTTTCTTTTTGATCCGATCAAATGTAAGTCATTTACGCAGAAATTAAGATATTTATGAGAAATAAATTTCTAATTATTTGACCCCATAATATTACTAAGATTTAAATTCAAAACATTTAAATTTACAATTCATTTTTATTAGTACTTGAACGAGCTTTTAGGGTTAGTCATGCCTCTCTTACTCATGGCTTAAATGTGGTACCTAGAACCTGAAACTTTACACCCACAATTGCCCTCCATTACAACTTACACCCTAAAAACCCCAGCCAAATGACTAGAGGTTGCAGAATTTACTCAGTTCGGTGACAAAAAGCTTTCAATTTTGTCAAAGAAATAAAGAAAAAGCAGGTATATTAATTACCTGAAAGTGATATGTTTTATGTGAAATTATTGTTTCGGGTCAAAGAAAAGCTATTACTTTTGGCCCAGACCCGAAATATTAAAGACCTTTTTGTTGCCCAATTATAAGCCCCGAGCAAACAAAATTAGCCCGGTCAGCTAGGCTGGGGAACCTGACAATAGCGTGGCAATCTTGTCGTTTCGGTTGTGTCATTTTGAATTCGTATTGAATACTAATTAATTTTATTTTTATATTATTATTTAAAATGTTAATCGTGTCAATTTTGTGTTGTTCGTATTTAATACTAATTCAATCAATTTATTATTCGTATTAGTAAGTCGTGTCATATACGGATTCGTGTCGAAAAATAATCAATCATAACTAGCTAATTTCGTGTCAATTTTAAATCGTATTGTGTTAGGAATTACGACATCTACCTGACACGGGCCTTTCCTTATGTTATACCAAGTATTTGGGGGTGGACCCATTAGTTCATATGGTTTATTATTATTTTTTTTGGGTCTGCATGTAAAGATAGCTGATATCGTTTAATGTTTAAACTCTCCGATCTTTATCATTCTAAATCAGTTGGCGGGGAAATATAGTTTGACTGTTTCTAGTACCACTGGTTTATAGAGATTAGTGGCAAAACTTTTAAATGGAACTTTTTTGACTTGTTTTTTTGAATGTATTTCTAAATTTTATAAAGTTTCCACCATGTTTTTCTTTTGTCTCACAATGTTTGGCAAGGAAAAACCGAAAAAAAAAAAAAAAAGATAGGCGGAGCTCATGTAACACGAGAAGCACATCATCAAAGGTGGAGCCAGCCATCTTTTCTAGTGAGGGCAGCATTTAGAATTTCAAATGTTTACAGAAGTATAGTTTCATAAATAGAACGTTAATTAAAAACGCAATTCATATACAAAAGCAATATATACAAAAATAAAATTACTATAAATTTATTTATAAGACCTAACATTAAAAATTTGAATAAAAAAATTGGGTTCAATCATATATTGAGTTTATACATGGGAAAATTTAATTCATAGTTATTCCCTACAAGTTTTAATATTTTAAAAGCATTGTTTGATAATTTTATTGTAAATGATACTTAAAATTTCTTTCTCGACATACATAACTAAGCAATCGTTTATTCATTGATCTTTCATTCGTTTGCGCAATTAATTTTTTAAATATTAATTTGTTCAGTCACAAACTTAGTACTCATCAGTAAATTTTAACAAACAATAGAAACTAATTTAAACTATGATTATTCTATTAAACTAAACCTTGGCGGAGGAATTACTTAACTTATCACAATAAAATTATGCAAAATTCCGAAATCAAAACAATCTAATCTAACACATAATGAAGGACTATACATCTCAATTCCAATTCAAGATGTAAGAATAAATGATCGGGTACGTAAATTATATGTAAATTTATCATAATTTAAATCTCAAAAAAAAAGACCACAACTCTCGATTCCAATTCACGTCAAGTCAGTTTAGTTACATGTGACCGGGGTATGTAAATGAGATTTTCATTGAAAAAGACCATCACATGAGTGGGAAATCACATGGCCTTCTCTAGGTTTATTTTTTCTGCTGATTACATGGCTTTCTCTAGGTTGCCATCCGCAATTTCAGGAGAATAAAGACTACATTAGACTCATTAGTTGTGTTTTGCTTAATGTTTAATCCTTCAAAGTGTGGGCCCAGGTACCCTTTTTGTTAACAAGAAATCACCTAGATTGACAATAGTCAACAATGGCAGACAACTAAAGTCATCAAAGACAAATCTTTAATAGGCACTCACATGGGAGAGAAACATTCAATGCATTTAATTTAGTTGAAGAGCTTGTAGTCAACTTGTTAGCTATATAAAGATAAGTAGATTAACCACTAATTCAAGTGGTAACAAAATAAGTTCTAAACATAGACGTTCTTCTTATGTATATTCTAATTTTGGTATAGAACATCTATTTTTGATTGAATTGAGATAAAAATTAGTTAAAATGTGCATGAATTAACTCAAACACTCATGACAGTTGAAGTAAAAAAATAATAAGTAGACTAAGTGATGTAAAAATGCAAAAAATTATAGAAAAAATTGGTCATTAGTTAGTTTGGATGATCAAAATTTTAGAATTTTGCTAAGAGATCAAGAGAATTAATTTCCGAATGTAAAATTTTCAAATATGGAAACAAATCATAGTTTTAAAATTTTTTTAAAAAACATGAATTTTATCCCAATATATTGTTTAGAGACTCCCCATCCACTTTCTCTTTTAAGAATAAACTTGATACATAATGTACATTGACTTTTGTATTTTTCACAATTATTAGATAGACCAAACACCATGTGTGAATTTTCGAGCAACCCTATGAGGTTAAAAAGGACTAAATATTTGGTGTACCAATCACATCTTATTGTTACCACGTAGTGTATCATTCACAAAAAAATTTATAAATGGGCAAAGTGAATATCACTCTTTTATAAGGAAAATGTTATTTGAATTTAAAATGTAGATTTTATAAATCACAATTAGTGAATATGTTGTGGATTCTGACGATGCACAAAAATAGATTTAAGTATTATATGTCGAGTAATTAATATGTGTAATAAATGCGGTAAATATAAATGTGAGATCAACACAAATAATACACATATATAGAATGGTTTGGTCAAGGTGACCTACTCCACTTTGAATGCGACAACGGTAGCCGAAAGACTTTATTGATAAAATAATTGAAGGGAGAGCACGAGAAACTCTAAGTGTGGTGAGATAGTTATGAGAGAGATAGCTATGTGTGAGATGTAGAGGTGTATCCGTCATGTGTAGAGGACTTATAATTTATATGCACATAGCCTTAATTGAGGCGGTGGCATGAAGGGATAGGTGACTAGTCATTCGGAGTGGATAACTATAGCTAATGATTGATACAATTAAAGATAATCTTAATCTCCAAATAATTGTCCTGATGTTTACTCCCCACATGCGTTGATCTTTTCTGACCTCCTTAAACTTTTGGACTAAGTTGGATTTATAAGCTGGGTTTTGACATGCTTTGTAGCTAATTTGGGCTTACCTAAGAATTGGTCCTAGAGCCAACTGGATCTGGGCTCATCAAAGTTCTAATAAGGGTAAATTGTAAAAAGTACACAAAATTAGACTTATTTGGTAAAAAGTACACACTGAAAAATGTAGGGTTATTAAGTACTTAATTTTGATACTTATTTGTATCAAATTACATAATTTGAATTTATCTTTTTTTATTTATGACATTTTTGTCATCCATTAATCCATGTGTATTGAAAAGTGGTTCATTATACATCTTCTAGTTTTATGGGAGAACTTTAAAACATATATATATATATATATACTTATGTATGTATATATACTAATATATGTATATACTTGTTATTAAATCTCTTATCTAAATTTTGAATTATCTTTTAATGCACCTTCATTCATGCATTTTTTTTTAGAAAGTGATTTTATTTTTCAATTAATTTAATATTTGAATAGTGTAATAGTGTAACAACATAAAGTGTAACACTAACAATGTAAAAGTATAACAATAATAGTGTAATAAGCTATTTACACAAAATATTGTATTATTACATTTTTTTTCAAACATATAGTTTCATATAATTTCATTCAAATAGTTTATTTTCGTTTTAAATTTGTTACCATATACACAAAACTATTGAACACTGTTTTTGTTACACTATTATTATTATACTGTTATTGTTATATTATTACATTATTCGGATATTAAATTAATTTAAAAATAAAACTATTTTCCAAAAAAAAAAACTCTTGAATTAAGGTGTATTAAATATAATCTGAAAACAAAATCACTTTTCAAAAAAAAAAAAATATGCATGAATCAAAGTGCATTAAAGATAATTCAAAATTTAAATAAAAGATTTACATGTATTAACAAATACACATGAATCAAATGTATATTAAATACGTATTTATATGTATTAACAAACACACATGAATCAATGTGCATTAAAGATAAGAGATTTTGAAATAAATGACTCTAAAATGGGCATTTATGTTTTTTTAACTCACATTTTATTATATGTATTTTTTTTTAAAATAAGTCTAATTAGATATACCAATTTTCAAAGAACCCTTCTAATAAATATTGGGATTCACAAAGAAATCAATAACACTAATTGATGAAGTTTATATTTTAAGTTAAAGGATTCAAGTCTTCATCCCTCTCTCCCTCTCCCCCCCCCCCTCCCCAAAAAAAAAGAAGTGAACATGTGATTATTCTAGTTGAGTTGTGGATGGTTTACCTTTAATTAAATTAAAAAAAGAATTAATCGAGTTACACATAAGTTGGTTAAAATACTTTTAACAGTTGAGCTAACCAAAAAAAAATTAATAATAATATGTGACATTAGTGACGTGGTGATACCCTGAGAGAGAGAGAGAGAGAGAGAGCGCGCCGCGGGAGGGGGGGAATGGTAATTGGATTAGTTAAATCGGGCAGTCCAATTGTCCAATTTTAACCCAAAAAATTGGCCGCGGGAATTAAAAATCGTTGGGTGTAACTGTAATTGTACCCAACGGTTTTCCGTGACCATTGTCTATTACATCCCCGACAAAGAAAAGGGAGAAAAATCAACAGCCCCTTATGATTTGAACCCCACCACTGTACTACTCATCACATAAAGCAGAAGCGCTACACAAAGGCCCTCTCTCTCTCTACACTCACAATACTTTTCCTTCTTTTCACTCTTTCTTCCTCAACTCTCGCCATCATTCAAGGCCTCAAAGACCCAGAAGCCACAATAGCTCACAGGTAAGAAATCTCTCAGTGAATCTGACAATTTTGGTTGTGTTACTAAGTTCAAATCCTTTTGCTGAATAGATTGTTGAACTTGTTCTTGATTTTGTTTTTTTGGGTCTTTTGTTTTGACTTAGCCTAGCCAGTTCTTGGTCACATTTTGGTGCTCAAGATAAGATTAGGCTCAGAGTACATGTTGACTAGTAATTGTCTTTGTAATTGAGATTGGAATTCCTTGTAAATATGTATTGCTCATTGAACTTTTGGCTCTCTTATCATGCTTTAGTGTTCTAATTCCATGGAAATTTTGCATTTATCCTGATTAGCTTCTGACAAAATCTTAATGTATTTTTGGTCGTTCTAGTTTCGAAATCCGGAGTAAGGGCTTCAAGCTATTACTGATTCTTTTTCCCTCTCTAGGACAACTAGTTCCTTGGAATCTCTTCGAGGGATTCAAGAAAAGAATTAGGTTTACTATAAAAGGACAGTGAAAAATATGAATCTTGGATCTTCATGTTGTTTCAAGAACTGAGAAACCTCCACTTAATTAAGCCCAATGTGAATATTTTCATACTAACCAAGACCAAAAAATTGAATTTTTCAGTTGTTTTTTTGGCATGACAGTAATGTAATAACCATTAGACTTACAAAAATTTCATTTCACTTGTCCTCTGTTTCTTCGTAAACTGAAAAGCTGGTAATTTTTTTCTTTAAATTGTAAGCTTGAACATTAGACGCATCTGGAAACAGTGTTTTTTCGATTCATAGTTTGCCCGTTTGAAGTGAAAATGTACCCAAAAGTTCTCTGTTTGCCAATTTGTATGGAATCAATCATAGTTTGAGTAGATAATTGGGACGGTGAATATCAGTTCATCTCTTCTTCTTTTTTGGGTTTTCTTTTATGAGAATTTTTAGATGTGATTAATGTCTATTTCTCTTAACCTTTCCTTTTTTTCCCCTTGGGTCTTCCATTTTGTAGTTTATGTAACCCGGCCAGTTCTTGAACCTCAAATCTAGTGGAGAGTGAACAGAACGTGCTCATTTTTAGGACTTAATGGAGGAAAAGCAATTAGATCTAAATGCACCACTATTATCAGTGAGGCGATTTTCATCGACATTGGCCACTTCAGATGGAGTTCACAGGAACACAATCACAAAGTCACCACCACCCAATAGACAACATTCTCTTCCTTTATACACATCAGACTGGGAGTTGGGTGAAGTAACCAAACCAGCTGCAGTTCCTTTCCTGTGGGAGCATACTCCTGGAAGACCCAAATATAACAGTGGACCCTTGCCTCAACTGCCTGAGGAGTCTTCAAATACTCCAAGACTTTCTCTGGGAACGGGATTGGGTCGTATAAAGCACACTTCCTCTGAAATGGCTAATGATCGGCATCTGTTTAGGACCCAAACTGATGCATCTCCTTTGAATGATTATGCAATGCTTCTGGATAGCTTGATTGAGGGAATAAAAGGAAAAGGGGACTCTGATTTGGAGAGCGGTGATGATGCGTATTCTGATGCACTCGACACACTGTCACCAACACAATCATTCTCCTTGAATTATAGTGTAAGTGGTTTGAGCGGTTATGATGGTCCCGATGTCAAACCATCTGGAACATTCTCCACTGATCCACAAACTCGAGATTTTATGATGAGCCGCTTCTTACCTGCAGCCAAGGCTATGGTTCTGGAGACGCCTCAGTATGTGCCACGGAGGCAGCCTGCGGTAACAGAACCACCTAGGCAGGTTAAAAAGGTGGTCAGTGGGGAACTAAGGCCGTTACTTGAACAGTTCAGATCTAATGCCATATCACCATATGGGAAATGCGTAGAGGATGTGGAAAGTGAAGATGAAGATGAATGTGATGATCCTGGCAAAAAATCACGCAAAGTTTGGGGATTATTTCCTCGAATATGTGTGAAGAATTCTGCATGTCTCTTAAATCCAGTGCCAGGATTGAAACCAAGGGCCCAGACTCCAAAGGCTTCTGCCAGTAAGGTTAATAGATTGGCCAGAACTGCATATAGTGGACCTTTAACTCAGACCATTGATAAGGTAACTACATTTTCTTTACCGCTGTATAACTAGTAACAATTATGATTGTTAGCTACAACTCTTGTGCATTTGCAGAATGCTTGGAATGCAACTTATAGGAAGCAGCTTCATCCTGGAGTTCGATCACAAGAGCTGCATGAAGTTGAGAGTAAATTGGTGGGTGAATTTAAACTATTCTCTTACTCTGGTGAATTATATAGGACCGATAGGTCATCTCCCTGCAGGCGTTTGAAGGCTGGTGGCATTTCTCCATACCGGAATGAAGCGCCTGTGTCTCCCTTTCATGATGGTGCGAGATTTCTTGGTATACCTAAGGAAGTTGAAAATGCTAAGACTCCCGAGTTCAGCTGGCCTACAAAGGAAAGTAATGACTCTCAGAATGTATCATCCCATCTGCTATGTAAACAAGAGTTGGGCTCGGTGCATTCTGCCGTTGAGAAAACATTGTACATAGATTCAATTCGTAGTGAAAAGATTCCAGTTGTGAAATCTGTTTGTACGGAAGCTGACAGGCTTATGGACTGCTCTGGTGAGGGTTTCAAGACCTTGGTAGAAAGCACGAGGGAAGAAACTTTTACTCCCAAAGCTTCCATTCAAGATACAAAATGCCTAAACCTTTTGGAGGGAGGGAGGGAGCTGAAACCTAAAGCTTCTGTTCCTTTCGATGCTAATCTACCTTCTATGGTTTGCATAGCAAACCTCAAAGGCCAAGCAGCCAGAAAGGAGGTTTCGAAACGGAATCCGAGTCTTGATCAGGAATCCAGGTCCTTGGAATGCTCAAAAGTGAAACTCAGTGGAAATTTGGATAAGAAAAATGAACATACCATGAAAGCAGATGATAAACAAAATCCTAAGGTTGTCTCTTTGCAATCGCCTTTAACCCCGCCTTTACCAAAATCACCATCTGAATCTTGGCTATGGCATACTTTGCCTTCCATTTCTCTGCGGAATCCATTCTCACATTCACATAGTGGCGGACGTTTTCATTCTAAGAAGCAGGATCAGAAGACTTCCATCAACGGTACCAAGTGGGAGACCATTGTGAAAACTTCCAATTTGCATCATGACCATGTACGGTATTCTGAGGTAATCTCCTCTTTTTATTTCAAAAATTTGTGGTGATTCAAATTTTGCTGATTGATAAACTAAATGAATTAACATTTTTTTATAATTTCTTGACAGGAACTTATGCCTCATGTTCGTCACCACTCTAAAACTTAGAAGCACACAGATGCTACGCAAAGTTCTCCAAATTCATTCACTTGCTTAAACATGTTTGATTTCTATTTAGTCAATCCTAAAACTTTCCAGCCCACTGTTTTCTCCAGAGTTCTCGTTTCTGATTGTTCTTTGTCATGATATACTAGGGAAGAGAAAGTAGTCTATAGTTTGCGTTACATCAAGGCGGGGGTGAGGTTGTAGCCTCTCAAACCTCCCTTTTTTCCTTATTTTTTTGGGTGAAGTCATTGATCTTCCTTCCCCTTCAGCGATTGGATTGTGTATGTAATAGTAGCCCTTGTTTTCTTATGAATGAAGATGCTGCATCGTTGAGAAGTCACATATACTGGCATCTTAGTGTCAAGTAACAGGTTCTTTGGATCTTGGTGTTTTTCAGCGATTATTCTTTTCTTCAATCTCAATGGTACTAGCTTGTTTCCATTTTCGGTGTTCATTTCTGGTAGTTATCACACACCCTTCTCCCCTGCTTGTATTTGTCTGTCTAATTTTGTAATATTGAAGCTACGGCCATGAATTAACTTTGGCAGAATTACTAATGTTTGAGAGTTGCTCATCTGTCCTAAATTTTCATTACATGATTTGTTCTTTCTAATAAGTTATCATAGTAAATTGGACTCTTCAATCAAGTTGGTTAGGTTGTCTGTTGTTTCAATCCCAAATGCCAAGTAAACAGCCCAGTGGCGGATTTAGTATGGGGCAGCTGCCCCTACTGAAATTTTAAAAAAATTTTGGGACTTAAGTGTAATTTTAAAAATTTCAAGAATTTCTTAGACTTGCCCCCACTGAAATTTTCTTAAAGTATAGGGTATATTAATATAATTTTCAGCAGCCCTCACTGAAATTTTAAAAAATTTGAGATCTAGGTGTAATTTTAAAAATTTCAAGACATTTTTAAACTTGCCCCCATTGAAATTTTTTCAAAGTACAGGGTATATTAATATAATTTTTAACCCTTAAAAACTAACTTTTAACGGCTCCTTTTCATTCCTGATTTTTTTTTCCCCTCAAGTCTTTGTTTTCTTCGTCCAACTTCCAATCCAGGTGACGGCGTCCAGCCCCTCTTCTTTCTTTTATTTAGCTTCTTTGTTAATTCCTTTGGTGTATTCATCAATAAATCAGCTCATTGGATTCAATCATTGTGCAAATCAAATTTGAAGAAACCTTAAAAGAAGATTATGTTGAAGCTAAAGAGAGAGAATCCATTAATCAAATTTTTTGATAATAGTATTAGAACTAATCTAAAATCAGATTTTTTATATTAGAAAAGTTGTTTGGTGTATTATTTATGGATTTATGTAGATTTTCTTTGTTTCGTCTTGGGTTACTACTCAACTATTTTAGATTTTTGTTGAAGCTCCTATTTAGATTGACTATCTGAAATTCTTGGTTAGTGCTATTTTTCTTCTCTATGATTAAATTGCTTTAATTGATTTCTTAAAATTCTAGTTTGAATTATATTTTGGATTTATGGATAATATTTTAATTATGTGTAGTCCAAAATATGAAAATTCGGCGAGAACAATTATAAAGATTTATTGAATGTTCGAGAGTTGGGAGCTCATTTTGTATAGAATCTCGAACACTGAAGGATACTTTTGATGTGAAGCTTTTTTGTTGCTTTTTTTTTTTATACATCACTCATATGCATGAGTTGTGCATCTAAATGACATTCTTTTGATGTAATTATGTTTATAAACTGCTTATCAAGAATACATATTTCGATGAAAATAATGTTACAATTATACTTTGAAATTTAAGAATTTAAGTTGCTCTTACTGAGACAAAATTTTGGCTCCGCCCCTGAAACAATCTCTTCTTCAGCCATTCTAAGATCTGAAATGCAAGAAGATTGACATTTGTGCCTATATTAGAAGATCTCTATCAGAGAGGGATGTTTCTGTTCTGCGCATCATCACATACTCTAGGCTCTTTCTATTGAACACTACAAACCCGCACTTTCCTATTACTTAGGTATATATTCCACTTAGCTCTTTAGCTCATATCTGCAGAAACTCAAAACAAAGCTCTCCATGATTGTAATGAACTCTTCTTTCATCTAAATACCTTCTCTCATTGCCCTGTTCAGTGGATCATCCAACTAGTCAGTTGAGTCTTCTGCTGGCATCTAAGAGAGGATCTCTTCAATGGGAATTGAGATCTTTCACTCAATGCTAGTTCATGTACCATGGATTCAAATGGGATTTAATGTTCATAAGTGAGCCCCGTATACAAACATGGCTGAGTGATACACTGATACTGATCATTTGAGGCAATTTGGTTTTTCCTATTTGTTTGCTTTGCGTTTCAAATAACTATTTACAATCTTCATCTTCGATAGTGAAACTTTGTGGCCTTGTTTCGTCTGTGATACAAGCTAGCACTCTCGTTCCTTTATGTGATCCGAGATCCCCATTGAGTAGAACAAGGGCATACGACGGTTGTCTTACACTAAAACCCATGTGGTAGGGTTGAGTGTGCGACATACACACACAAACATAGCGATACACATTGAGATACTCAAATTTCGATCAAGCAGGCTTTATAACATGTTTTATCACATTGAATTTTTGGAAACCCATAAATCTGAATAGGTTTCTACATTATTGATGGCTCGATTTGGAAATTAAAAATCACATATTACTTATTCTTGAGGTTCTGAAGTTGAAAGAAATGCAACTTCTACTCACATGGAAGAAGCCTAGTCACCTAGCATGCATGCTGCCATATGCTTTAGATCTTGTAGTGTTTTTCCCTTTTCTTTTTCCTAAATTTTTGGAAAATTACCTCTTTCACCCCTAAATTATGTCCCTATCACTATTTACTTCATTTGATGTCATGTTTCTCACGTTGCATCTATAATTATATAGTTATTGGTTTTATATTGCCGGTTGGAGTTTTAATTTAGTTTCTCCTGGTTTTTCTCTTTTTTTTTCCCTTAGTATGACTTTTATGTATTGCCTAGACCATAAGAGTATTTTAGTCACTTTGTATTATTATTTGGTTATATATATGGGGTTCTGCACTTAGTTTGTGTATCACTTTCACTCATAGATACTCCAAGTCGGTATCAGAGCTAAAACCCTATCTCTAACCCTAAACCCTAACCCTAACCTTCTCCATCGACAACATCCTAACACCAGCAACTCAGCCACATCGAAGCCACCAAAACTAACCACCCATAGAACCAGGCCACCGCCCCGGCCATTACCTGAAATCACCCAGCGAAAACCACCCCAGCCAATAACTCCAGATATCACACCCACAGAGCCAGCCCATTACCCCTGTCACTCCATCGATAACGACAACTAATCCAGCATCCTAGCCCACTCCATCGATAGCAACCACAACTCCCAGCAACCTAGAAACCAACAATCAACCCAATAAGCCAATAATCCCAGCGACCCAACTTACAAAGCCAATAATCCCAGTGACTCAACTTACTAACCCAATAATCAACCCAATAAGCCACACCACCGACCCAATAAACTAGCCCCTGGCCAACCTAAGTCCTTAGCAACCCAGAAACCAGCAACCCACCCAACTCACTACCCAACGACCTAGAAACTAGCCCCAACCAACCCAAGTCCCTAGTGTCCTAGAAACCAGTGACCCACCCAACTCACTTCTCAACGACCCATCTAGCAGCAAACCCAACCTAACTACCTTGCCTTCGTCCTTTGCGTTCTTCGTTGCAATGCCATCATATCTTCGCATCACTGACTTCTTTTTCCTAGGGTTGTAGCACCTAAGACCTTTTAAGAGGGGTTTGATCGTCATTTTCGTTGATCTACTTTTGATGCAATAGATTACTTATATATTTACTAGATTTTTAGGCACCATGACCTACTTATTTGGGAGCTTTCTGGACTTTTTTTTATCTATTGCTACTGTTTGACTGGAGATATATTGCTTTCCCTTATTTGGTTCCTCTATTTATCTTAGAGTTTTTTCTGTCACGTGTGCCTATGCATTGTTGTTGACATAACTACTATTAAGGGAATTGAGACTCCTAGCATTGAGACATTTACTATTGAGACCCCTGGTACTTTCACTAGGAATATACAACCTGGTTCTTTCACTTTTATATTTGACCAGTATACAGTACCTACTAGCATAGTTGCATTACCAGCAATGTCGAGTATAATCTCTCAGAAGCTCACGACAAAATTGTTGAATGACCGTAACTTTGTTGAGTGATCATTATCATTCTATCTTTACTTAGGCCATGTAGGAAAGCTTGGTTACCTGATGAGATCTTACCCAAAACCAACTGATAATGACCCTGGATATTCTGCATGGTTCTCTGAGAACTGCGCTATTTTTAGATGGTTATTTGGCTTGATGAAGCCATCTATTTGCAGGATTCACTAGTTTCATAGCTCTGTACAAAAACTATGAAGTGCATTATCAGAGATGTATTCCCAGTCAATATGGGGAGTCCGTGTTTATGAGCTTTACCATAAGTTCTCATATACTTGGCAGAGAGATATGACGGTTTAGCAAAATTAAGACTATTTGACCCAGAGCTGGCTTGAGTATGAAACTCATTCGTTCTCTTGCTGTAATTCCAATGATAGAGCCCAAGGGAGCGGTATTCCTGCATACTCGAGGACATTAGGATAGGATTTACACGTTCTTTATGGGACTTCATGATGAGTTTGAGATACCTCATTCCCAAATCTTGTCGATGATGAGGCTTCTGTCTCTTTGTACGGTGTATGCGAGAATTGAGTAGCATGAGCGTCGTGTCCACATTGCATCACTTTCAATTGCGACCTTGACTCCTCAAGCCAACCAGATGGGCCTTGCATTTGCTGCAGGGTCTTATTTAGGACCCTTAGCTAAGGGTGGACAACACTCGGACCAGTGCCGTCAAAGCGCCCTAGATCAGCACACACAAGTGGATTCTCATCAGTGTGATTATTGTGGCCAACAAAGACATCTCAAGGCTGCTTGCTAGAAGCTCTATTTAGGGCTTAAGCCGTCTCTTTACAATCGTACTGCTACTATTGCTTAGGTACCACCATTTATTGTTGTTCTCCTATTACTGCTACTGCTCTTACGCCTCCTTGACAGAGTGATATGGATGTTATCACTTCTCACTTAGATATACTTATGTCAGCTCTAACTTATCAGGGCCCGACTACTGATGTTGTGACTACTACAAGTATACATCGTGTCTTCCATACTTGCATATGTCCGTCTTCACTTTAGATGTTGGACACCGGTGCGAATGGTTACATGACAAGTGAGGCCTATCACTTTATCACTTTGGACGCGTAGTTATATACACAAGTTTAGTTAGCAGATGGGACACGTGCCCCTATTGTTAATAGGGGGTATAATTCACCTTCCAGATGAATTTACATTGCATTCAATTTTTCATGCGTCAAAGCTAGCCATGAATCTATTATTTGTACATTAGTTAGCCAAAGATTTTCAATGTGCGATTGTGTTATTATTTGATTCATGTTATTTGTAGTATCTGAGTACCAAGAGGATTATTATAAGGGGACATAAGAGAGATGAACTGTA